CGATATCAGGCACGTGCGCTACAGCTATTTTGCCATAGCCGTGTCTCTCTCTCTCTCTCTCTCTCTCTCTCTCTCTCCATATTCCGTGAGGTGACGTGATGCTGCAGTTGTCGGATTCACACAATTTTACATGACTTAGGTTCTTTGGATTGTTGGAGGCCGTGCTGATTCTATATCGCAGACCACTTTTTTCTTTTTCTTTTTTTTATTGAATAGAGGAAGAAAATGAAGGGCTAACCGATTAGCTGTCCTGAAAAGATCCAAGGTCCCATGATTGAAAAGAGGAATAAAAACAGGTGCGGTCTTCAACTCCAGTAGAGGCAGGTATCTCCACTTCAGCGCCACTGTCTTCCCCAGAAGAGAACGCACAGTCATTAGCAATGTCTTTCTTCCCATTGTATGAATTTGACTTCCTTCACTATCTATCTCTGAGGTCTTGCAGGCATGCGACGCCGCAGACCAAAGATTGGCCCAAATACAGATAGGATGACAGGTCGTTCTTTTCACACGTGTGAAGACGGTAGTCACACGAGAACTCCTTCGATTGAAGCGAGTGTTTTCACAGTTGATCAAATCCCAGGCCTCCCCCCCCTGCCTCCAGAGTCTTACACAGTTTCTGCATTTCTCCGGATGGCTGAAGGGCATCACACTTCCGTGGAGTGTTTCTCCATTTTCTGGGCAGGACCAACTAAGCTCTGGACGCGATCATCATCACATGCATCCAGGTCTGTCTGTATTGCAGTCAAATGTACACTTACGACAGTGGTAATGTGAGCACACCCACACCTTTTTTTTTTTGGGGGGGGGGGGTATCATGGTTTCTTTTTTTTGGGGGGGGGCGGTTTTTTTTTTTTTTTTTTTTTTTTTTTGGGGAACAAGGCTCCAATCTATTCATGGGGAGCAGCACTTTTTTTTGTTTTGTTTTGTTTTCCTTTTTTGGGAACTAGGCTCCAATCTATTCGTGGGGAGCAGCACGTTTTTTTTTGGGGGGGGGAACAAGGCTCCAATCTATTCGTGGGGAGCAGCACGTTTTTTTTGGGGGGGGGGAACAAGACTCCAATCTATTCGTGGGGAGCAGCACGTGCTGGGAGCACACCCACACCCTAAGAAGAACTAAACCCAAAGATGGAGAACCCGGGACGTGGGGACTCGCCACCGATTATTCGAAGACCTTGGGTTTGCCCCTGGCAGACGGTCTTCGTGATTTTTTATCATGTCCTGTTGATGACATTCCGTAATGTCTGCACTGTCTGCAGCATAACCTGCTGGCTTCGGCTCTTCCCCAACAGGCCAGGCAGGGCTGGAGCCCAACACTAGTCAAGATATGGCAATATCAAACCACCAGTACTTGGCCCAGCTCTCGGCCGGAGTAGAAAGTACTAGACACGTTTCTAATTGGATGAATTAGTGCGCTCCTGTAGTTGCCTGTACGTTTTCCTAAAATCATGGCGCGTTAACGGGCACGACTTTAGGAAGTACTGGTGGTCTATAACGGATACAAGACACCACACCAGTGTTTCATCGCCCGAGCCCGAGAAACCCGCTGCTCACCATCGAGCCGCCGATGGTACACTCCTTTCCCACCGCTTCCCTCACTACACACCCGCCCGCCCACATTCCGGAACCTCCCACACCCCCTCCGTCCCCCCCGCCCCTTCTACGAAACTCCCACAATAAGTAAAAGCCCTCATGAAATAAGATATTGATGTTCATTCTATGAATGCCCACGGCCTGGCCGCCATGTCACAGCAAAAAAGGCAGCCATATGCGATATGAATAAAATGCGGGAACCCAACTACTGGCCTGATGTGGTGTGCATACGGGAGACCCATCTCCTAGACAACCCTGCCCGCCAGACTAGGACTAAGAGGTATGGCCCTGTGCCACTTTCACGGCGCATGCAGCAACCTATCATTCAGCCCGAGTGGCGACATGGGTGACAGCGGAGATGGATAGACTCCATAGGATACGGGTCTACACGAGAGCCAAATGGGGGGAAGAGGAATTCCGCTTGGCCAATGTATATGCTCATTCAAGCTCTTCCCACCGACATCCCCCTTATTGTTGCAGGTGATTTCGATATCACACCTGACCCGACGGTGGACCGAAGCAGTCGGTCCCAATCAGAAATTCCATGGTCATCACAACCTCACCTAGGCTTCGATCCACCCATATTCAACCAACTCCTGACTGGCAGCACCAACTGGTACACTCCCACAGAATCCTGCACCCCACCACACACAGGCCTTTACATGCATCAGATCCAGGGGGGAAGAGGGGCTGTCCTACTCAAGGATAGACCCACTAATCTCCAAAGAACTGACTGGACCATTAGGGTTGGCAGCAATCCACACATTTGGCCCCTCCACACTGTTTGATCATACAATGATATCGATCGGCCTGACTTTCGCACCGAGTTTTCAAAAAGCCCCTGGCTATTTCGAACCAAACGCCTCTGTCATCAAAGTCCCCGCCTACCACGAGTGCATAAAAGACAAAAGATTTTTGGGCTTTCTGGGAAAACCAAAACACCAACTATCCGTCAATGGTGGAATGGTTCGACCAAGGGGTGGCCCGACTAAGGGGCAGAATGAAAAAATTCTCCACAAAAAGGGCAAGGTAGAAAAAGCCGAGGGGCTAGAGGCGCTACTGCGCACACTGGAAGAATGGGACGAACGACTTACCACGACTCCCCTAGACACCACATCCACCCACACCAGTCCGGTTTCATCCGGAGAGGAACCTCCAAGACAATATCTTCTTGGTGAATGCGACTGTGAAATACGCAAGACAGAAGCATAACAAGGACGCCGCAGTCATCTTCATTGACTTTGAAAAAGCTTATGACCACGTTGACCGAGAATTTTTGAACCGAGCTCTGCAAAAGAGTAACTTTGGACCTCGCTTCCGGAGATAGGGGGACACCTTGCATCGAGCGGCCTCGACGAATGCCAAGGTGAACGGGCACATACCCAATCCGTTCCCTCTCAAAGGATCACTCAGACAGAAAGACCCCATAACCCCCCTCCTCTTCGGAGGTATCATGGAAGCCCTGGAAGCAGCAGCCATCTGAGCAAATTCAAGAACGGAAAGAATGGATGTCCCAGATATCCGCAGCCAACTGGTCACAAAAGCATCGCCGTTTGTCGGCGATTTGACTCTCCTCTTTAAAGCTATAACCACTCCTCCTTAAGAGGCGCTTATGGAAACTATAAACTTTTTCTCCATCGCCTCGGACACGGGGGTCAACTGGGGGGTCAAAGACGGGGGGATGGTGGCTCTACCCCCACAAGGTATGCATCCCCCACCAACCCAGACATTGCGTGGCAAGGACAAGAAGAGGCCATACAAGTGCTAGGGGTGAGGACCACCACCAGACCATGGAGCCGCACTCGTGGTCAGAAGAACGGCCAGGTGGAAAGGCCTGCACCCCCCTCTTTAGTCGGGTGGGCCTTGCCCCTTAACACAGTGATCTTGTCTTTCGAGTGGTATAAGGCTGCACGCCGGCCCATTCAGGAAAGACGGCTTCAAAGGCAAAAAAATAGTAAACAGCCTATGAGGAGAACAACGACCAAGAAGACCACCTGCCTCTCATGGGTATCGTGGGACCTCATAGCGCAGCCAAAGCCCGTAGAGACTCGCCCACAGAATGTCATTTCCGAGTTGCAAGCGGATGCTTACCTTGAAGGACAGAGCCTTCAGTTGGTCCCGTGGTTCTGGGTTCGGTAGCCCGCCTTGGGCCCTTGGCTCTTGCTATGAGGTCCCACGATACCCACGAGAGGCAGGTAGAGTCTTCTTGGTCATTGTTCCCCACATAGGCTGTTTGCTATCTTTTGCCTTTGAAACCAGACCACCCGCTGCAGTTGCTTACCAACCCAGCCTGGACAAGCCCCAGACCAGCCACGTCGGTTCCCCCCGCCACCCCCCGAAACACCATAAGGAGGCACCACATAATTGCTGTACTTAAAGACTGAAAGATACGCCAAATACAGCAATAATGACCGCACGATGTATTCGGGTGGGGCATGAGTGAGTGTTCGCGACACAAAAAAAAAAGAGGACCTGACACAGACGACGGTACGATATCCAATGACTCATCCGGCGTGCTGTACACAGGCTACGTTCTTCCCCACGACAGCAACGTAGGATCATAATTGCTGTACTTGAGGCTGAAAGATACGCCAAATACAGCTATAATGACCGCACGATGTATTCGGGCGAAGAAGGTAGAGCACTCAGACGTGATGCCCAGACGCCGCAGAAAATGAGGCTACCATCCCCAAAAAAAAGGAAATACACTACTACAGCAAGGCAAAATGTAGACAATCACGGACATAATTCAAGAGGGGGAGAAAAGAAACAGACCTTGGAATGCAAAACGGTCCAGTGTTTACAAAGCACGTAGCCTGCGCCTCATTCACCACCGCTTTTTGGAGTTTGCGTACTCGAGCATCAGGTGTGTTCTTCGCATCTATTATATATACACCGATACCATGCACAAAGTAAAAGGGAACAAACTCCAATGAAGCATCTGCTATACGACTTGTCTGCTACATGCACAGCAATATCAGCATCCCCAAGAAAAGAACAAACTTCACTCCTGTAAACAGCATAATAGAAGTATAGAAGTAGTCGTTGTAGAACCCATTACCCAGGCAAACCAGGTTCGGATGTTACAAACAGTTGGCACAGCCGGCGGGTTCCTGGAGGGCATACTACTGCGTGAAAGATTTACCAAGACAAATGGAGCATACGTCCCTGCCCAAGTATGTAGGGTCCTTCAACGGTACTACGATGCAAATGAACTGCACAGACAAACGAAGACATGGGATATATCTCCCTGGCCAAGCACGACAATGCAAACAGTTGTATCAAGCACCTGCAGGCATCACAGCATTCCGAGAGAGCAAGAGAGAGAAGGGAGAGAGAGAGAGAGAGAGAGAGAGAGAGAGAGAGAGAGAGAGAGATTAGATAAACTGGATAACAGAACACACTGATTGCCTTCTTCTGCACCAAGCAACCTCAACCGGAATTTAATTCTCGAGTTGCAAGATGAGAGAGTCTTAACTGTGTTGTGACCTTACTCCCTGTGGTGTCTCATACCGTCTTTAGAAATGCTCTCACAGTGTGTGACCCTCGCTCAACCTACAAGATACAAGCCGTACAGACCAACAGAGAGAACCTGCAAAAAACTTTGGGACCGAAAGGGGAAAAAAAGCCTCGGTGAAACGCTTCCAATCATGGCACAAGATACATCACATCCTGCTACACACGCTAGCTAACCAACACGCTAGCACATACACACCATCATCCTTGGTGAAGAACAAAGAGGTTAGTTACGCAATTCAAGAGCACAAAGCAGAGGGTTCACTGATGTCTTGGCCACGACACAGGTACGTGAAGTACTCTCTCCCGGCAGTTAGGCGATAAGCACATTACCCAGGAATCCACCTGCTTATGCAGGATTGAAATGACACCCTTCGCAGGTGGCACAAAAACTTAAAACAAAGACAAGTGGAAAACAAATACACTCCCAACACATTGCGACAGCGTCCATCAGCCACCTATAACCTGCACTAAACATCAACCCATGCAGCAGCACGTTGCAGAGCAGGTAAAGACACAGGACTGACCAACGACCTTGAGTCCAAAGTCGCATTCCTGCAAATCTACAAGCTAGATAGAGATTTCTTTCCCTCCTTGCTCCGGAACCCTGCAGCAACTCTTCCCGGCACACATGCACACCATGTGAAACATCAGGGGGGCCTGAAAAACCCCACCAACTTCTCGTGCATCAATAATCGCTCCCCTTTCCCCCTACCCACCTCCCCCACCGGGCCACCTTCTTTAACACCCTGGTCATGCATCTGTGGCAAACTGAGGGAACTCCAGGGAGTCTATCAGCTGTCATCAAATGTCGACCTCCTCCATTGGTGGCAGGGAGGAGAGAGATCATGATGCTGCAAAGAGGAGGCCAAACTGTGAAGCTCCGGCACCATGCCGACCAACCCCAAATGCATCTGAGACCAGAAACACTCAGCCTCTTTAGATCTGCGCAGGGAACAACAGAAAGCACAGGCAAAAGACAGCACACATAAGCATGTACTCGTACTATTTTCCACATCAAATAGCATGAGTTTGAAGCAACACATGACAGACCAAAACAACCTGAGCTGGAGATAAGGCCAGCCGATTAAGTCAACAGGACACAGACATCTCGTCTCAATGAACAGCGCCTCCGCGCAGATTTACTGCAATCTCTAGGACAAAAACATAGTACAAGCAGCAGCCTACAAGCAGATTCCATCGCGACCATCCCTTATTAAGGCAAGCCGATTAAGTCGACAGGACACAGACATCTCGTCTCAAATGAACAGCGCCTCCGCGGAGATTTACTRCGATCTCTAGGACACAAACATAGTACAAGCAGCAGCCTACAAGCAGATTCCATCGCGACCATCCCTTATTCCTCACATGGGTAGTAGATTGCAAAAGTTGTAACTGAATTAGCGCTACTAAGCAAAAACCAAATTAGATGCCCACTGGAGGCGGCCTCAAATTCCAGGAGAAGTCTTCAACCAGACATGAATGAGAAAAACTAAAATTCCAGTATAGATTATTTCCGCACAGACTCACAACTTTCCGGCACCTAACATTATTGTATAGAATCATTTGATCCGCTTCCATCCAGATCCCAACGCACGATCCATTTACTAAAAATAGCACGCATGTACCATTGAACCAATAAATGGACATTTCCTCAATTTGCATGCATCATCCTTGCGCCCAGAGGCCATGCTAATTTTCTCTGTATCTTCAATGTACACCATATTTTGACTTGCCCCAACAATTAGGCCAGAAGGCTTGAGAGTACCTTTACCTGCTTGAAAAACAAATTCCTGTCGGTTAACACTGGAGGCGGGAAGGCTTGGGAATACCAGCGCAGAATGGCTGATGGCCCCAGACAAAACGAGGCCTGCGCCGATTCGTTTTTTTTTTGGCGCGCGGGGCAGTTTTAGGCTCCGCATCGATAGCTGAGAGAGGTACTGGTGGTTTAAAGAAAGAACAGTCGCAAGCTGACGGTCCATCCTCCATGAAAAGGGAGCAATCAATGCCGCTCAGGGGTCCTTTGGCCAAAGGGAAGGAGGAATCGTTCATGTGTTCCGTGATGTAGTCCGTGATGAAAAAAAAACAATGCCTAAAAAAAAAAAAAAAAAAAAAGAAAAAAACAGAGTCATGTGCCCTGATCGAGCACAAAGGTTATGTGGGCGATTCTACACATTGTAATCCAGGCCATATCAGTTCTTCCTCTTGTTTTTCTAAATGCATCCGATCCCATCGGGATTCGAACTCATGACGTGTGCGTCAACAGTTGCCTGTGTGAACCATAAAGCGACATCAGTTTCTCTTCACTTCTGCTTTTCCAGATGCAGCTGTGCTCATCCGTCATTGCAGTGCAGTCCATACCCCAAATGCAATCCATACCCCAAGTGGCTTTCCCACCACCACCACCTCCAGACTCCTCTCTGTGCTTTTGTATAAGACAAAGTAACCTGTTTCGCTGGAGCTAAATTCGCTGCACATCATATCTGCGAACATCGGAATGACAGGGGCCTTCACCCAATTCTTAGCGCCTACTGCCTCTCCGACCTGTTTTCCACTGCCGTCTTCACCCCAATTGAACGCCCATTCATTATCGCAGCATGTAGACTTCAGGTATTCCCAAATGCAGCTACAAATACCATGCGCTCTACACCCCAATTCAGCTGAAGGATCGTTCACATAATTTTTGCTTTTTCCTCTTTTTTTTTCCCTACGGCCAAGCTCCACAAGGTTCTATAATTGTTAAGCCTTTGAATCGGCACACTGAACTGCCCACACATGCTGACAGACAAAACACAGAATAAGCATAGCCACTGAGTCAAGTTATGGGCCTTATAGGCAGTGTTGCATACCCCAACGGTCAGCGGCCCTTCACTGGTCGGCACCTGCCGGTCGGGGATCGTCAGGACCCTTGACTGGTCGGTGTACCTAAGGGTCCGGAACCCCTAATAACTCTACCAACACCCTCCGAGCGGCCCCCAACGCCCGAATACACCCACCCAAACCGCCCCCAGCACCCTCATCCCCCCCCCCCCCCCCCCCCCCCCCAAAATTTCTCAGCGGATTTGGGCTGTACTCACCAAGCGCAGTACAACCCCCAACTCAGTTTTTAAAAAAAATCAATGGATGGTTGTTTTCTGACTGGTTGGCAGACCGCCGACTGGTCAGCCTTACTGGTGGGCTGCAATACCGTCGACGGTCAGGATCGGCAATCAGCAGGTCCGCAGGTCAGCAGGTGCATATGCAACCCTGCTTATAGCATTAGAAAGCAAATAAAAAAATGTGGGGGCAAAATGTATGAAATGGAGTACAGATAAAGAGAGTTTTCATTCCTCACTGAGATCCTCCTTCCAACTCTGCCAGATAAGAGTGTTCAATTTTTCGTGATTTTTGCTTTATCTGGTACGGCCCTCGAAACTCGAGATCGATGGCCTACCTCCGTGACCCCTAACAGGGGTCCTCATACCTCTGAACCTGCAGAATCAATCCGCTGCGTCAGCCTTCGGGAAGCCCCCTTGCAGGGAATACTTCTCGCACTCATACGGGACAAGGTTATTCTATAGACTAAAGCTAGCCCCTAGCCCAAAATCGGAGCCACCCAGCATCAGGGGAGCCAATCAGGACACAAATCACTGGTCCACACTATCAACCACACCGACGGCCACTCGTCAACCCCCATTTGAAGAGTCCCCGCCAAAGATTCCATTTCAGTCCACCCGTGAATCAGGTGTCAAGATGGCACAACATATCCCAAGCCACCACAACCCAACACCCGTCCACTGGGCGACTACCCACCCCATCCCGTTCCCACCCCAAACAGCAGCAACCCACCCCCCAAGGGGACACCATACACCGGGACCCGTTACCCGCTTAACGAACCCCAACACCTGTCTCTTATACACATCTAGATGTGTATAAGAGACAGGTGTGTGAATGGTGTGCCTCGCTTCACGCCCTCGGCCTCATGCAGGAAGCTTCGAACCTGCACCAGTCCCCCCCCCCCCCCACTGAGCTAATGGTCATTTGTAATTTCAGTTTTTCACATAGCTGTGAGACACACCCACCTCCACCCCCCCCCAAAAAAAAAACAATCAGACACAGAGACACTATGAAGCCCCTGCAGCTGTGATTCAGGTTATTGGTCATATTATATCCCTCGGACCTCCCTAGAAACAGACGAGAATGAAGCAAAATGACCATGAAGGTTAGTTAGGCCATACTCGTCACCACTGAATCATATTATGTCTTCGTCTCCATTTGTCTGTGTCTATTCAACGTGCAATTGAAAAGTTACAACGCCGATGGACCCGTTGAATAGCCCCCGGGGCCCCGTTGAATCCCCGTCGAATAGAACAACGGGCCCTCCCACTGTTCAACGGGGAGGGCGCATTGGGCCTCGGACATGGCGTTGGACACACGAGGAGCAGAAAAAATGCCATCACGTTGAATCCCCGTCGAATCCCCGTTGAACAAAAAACAAAGGCATCAGGGTTGGTTTTTTATTTTTTCTTATTTTTTAATGGATGAAAAAAAAAAAATTGTACGTGTGGTGTTTGAAAAACCCTGTGTGTGTGTGTGTGTGTGTGTGTGTGTGTGTGTGTGTGTGTGTGT